CTCAGATGTGCAGACTTCTGCCCATTCCAGAAAAAACAGCCTCAGAAGAAAAATATAACCACTTTGCCTAGTACATAGTAGAGACTCAGTGAGATATTATCATCACAACTATTCACATCCTCCTTTTTTTTTAACTGAAACGGTTCGGAAACTCACCCTAAGCACGTGGTCAGTTGTCACAATCTATCAGACCCGACACTTTTTTCATAATAAACATTTTGTTACAACCCTTTTAGTATCCTGAAGTGAAATTCATGGATAGCCTGCATATATACAACATATTTCAGTCTATAATCCTAGGCATGTCCAAATGAAGCTGTTCATATGTTTGCACTACATGAAGAATCTCAGCTCCAGATGTCAGGGTGTTACAGGGAGCTGTATCAGAAAGCAATACCATGGGTAGCATTGTCATGGAGCTTGGTTTCCTGAAATGGTGAACAATTCCTCTTAAGTTTAAACTAAAAAATTACAATCTTCCTTTGATTTATTTATAATTGCCTTCCTTGGAAATTCAGTGTACTGTGTATATTAAGCCTATCCGATATAAAACCATCCTCATATAGCCATCTAATCTTTGATAAAGCAGGCAAAACATACACTGGGAAAAGAATCCTTATTCAATAAATGTGCTGGATAATTGGATAGCCACATGTAGAAGACTGAAACAGGATCCACACCTTTCATCTCTCACAAAATAAATCATGGTGGATAACAGACTTAAACATAAGGCATTAAACTATAAGAATTCTAGAAGAAAATGTTGGAAAAACTCTTTTAAACATTGGCCTATGCAAAGTATTTATGAAGAATACCCCAAAGGCAATCACAGCAACAACAAAAATAAATAAATGGGATTCGATCAAATTAAAAAGCTACTGCACAGCCAAAGAAACTATCATGAGAGCAAACAGACAACCTACAGAATGGGAGAAAATATTCGCATGTTACACATCCAATAAAGGGCTGATAACTAGAATCTATTTAGAACTCAGGAAAACCAGCAAGAAAAAAATCAAAC